TATTCTATTCTATTCTATTCTATTCTATTCTATTCTATTCTATTCTAACCTTATGATTCTTGATGAATGTATCTTTTCTTTTATGCACACTGAGAGCATTTGCACCGAAGACAAATTCCTTGTGTGTCCAATTACACTTGGACAATAAAGAATTCTATTCTATTCTATTCTATTCTATTCTATTCTATTCTATTCTATTCTATTTCTAACCTTACGATTCTTGACGAATGTATCTTTTCTTTTATGTACGCTCTCTTTTATGAGAGCATTTGCACCAAGACAAATTCCTTGTGTGTTCAATCACACTTGGACAATAAAGAATTCTATTCTATTCTGTTCTGTGCCAAGGCTGGTTGACCCTGCAGCTTGCAGCCCAGAGATGTGGTGTGTGTGTGTGTGTGTGTCTGTGGGTCGGTGGGTGGGGAGAATCACCTCTCCCGTCAGATTTCTGCCTGCCACTCCCTCCTCCCCACTCTGGCAGAAGTCGTGAGAGGCTGAAGAGTTAAACTGACCGAGGTCCACTGCCCAGAAGGGAGGAGAGAAGCCATTGGAAGAAGGTGCGCGCTTGTCACTTTTGGGAAGGGGGGGAAGGGCGCCGTTTCCTCTTCCTCTCCAGTTGAGGGGTGGGGGGGGAAAGCGTGCAGCTGGGCTTCCAGAAGCCGAGGGTGGGGGGTCCCCCCGTTCGAGCCGTGACGCCGGAAAGCCTGGGTAAACGACAGCGGTTTTGGGGGGTTGGGTAGGAAGAGAGAGAGAGAGATGATGCCCTTTGCAGCAACAGGCACGGGACCAGCGGCGCGCGCCTTTGCCCCCCCCCAAAAAACAACAACAACCCGGGGGGAAAAAAGCTGTGCGCGAGACACCTTGCAGGCCTGGAAGGAAGAGGGGAAGCCCTTTTCGGCCCTATTACACCCCCACACACACACATCCACACGTTGCACACAAGGCGGTGTTCTTCGTTGGAGGCGGTTTAGCAAAGGTTAGACAGCAACCTTCTTCGGACAGCTTTTCTCCGGAGGTTGTGGGTGATTCATCAACTGGAGGTTTTTAAAGAAGAGACCTATCCTATCCTATCCTATCCTATCTTATGATTCTGGACGAATGTATCTTTTCTTTTATGTACACTGAGAGCATTTGCACCAAGACAAATTCCTTGTGTGTCCAATCACACTTGGCCAAGAAAGAATTCTGTTC